ACATACAGACAGACAGACAGACAGACAGACAGATAGATAGATAGATAGATAGATAGATAGATAGATAGATAGATTACATATATTATGTTTAATAATATAACTGAAATGTATTTTTTGAAAACTGTTGTATAACATTTAGGTGTACTCGTATGTATTCAAAGTGTCAAGAAAAAAAAACAAGTTGTAATTATTATTATTATTATTATAGCTTTACTTGATGGTTGCACCGCACTTTTAAAAAAAATGTAAATACAAAGAGTATATCTCTAAGAACTTGGCACATATTTTTAACTATTTTATTATTATTGTAGACACTATTATACAGCCTGTCATTGACCCAAGATACGCATGATGAAAGAGAAAGGTGGCAGAGAGGTAGAGAAGGTCATTAAAACCTCTTCTCACCCGGAACAGGTGTTGTTTTAAGGATCCCTCTGAATGTTGAGTGGCCGTATCCTCCCCACCAGGCTGGCTGCTTGTAATTAAAACTGACCATAAAAAAATCCACCGCTCACCTCGACTCCCTATTCCTCCTCTGCTTTCTCTCCTCCCCTCATTTAGACCCTTTTCCTCCCTCTCTCCATCTCCCAGCATGAGTTCAGGGAGGGAGGAGAACTTGTGCTTGAGCTGTCAGGGCTGAAGCAGCAGATTGGAGCTTAGCGTCGTGCTGTGTGGGGGAAACTGAGGCGTAGTGTATGGCCTGCTGGGGGACACAGGGTGGGAGACCCAGGGGTCTGGCAGGATCATAACCCATATGGGGGGAAAGGCTGGTGCTGACTCCATCTCTGTGGCTGTGTCTGGAAGTAAGATGACAACATCAGTGCACTGCTGGGTTGTATGTCTTTGGCTCTGTGTCTGTCTGTGTGTTTGTGTCTTAGTTTCCGATCAATACTATTGACTGTGCACCCCTGCAAGGACACTAATGACGCTTTTATTGTCATTTCTAAAAGGGAAGCATCTCTCGGTTATCAAAAATTGGCCTTTTTCTGCAACTTGTTTACAGTTTGTCCTTTGTAAACCGCCTGGGGCCTCAACTAGATTAAACTAAAACTTTGGACCAATTAACTTTTAGCAAGCTATGATCTTTCAATTTGCACTTTATCATGAATCCATTGATTTGTACTTGTGCGTTTTTTTCTGTCAACAGGTCATTTGTAAGCTGTGTCTCCTGTCTGGTAGTGAGAGATGGAACGGTGATGATAAGCATATACAGCTTCGCTGCAGGAACAGTGGCACAGATGCAGAACATGCATCATGTTTCTAATGGGACAATTAGAGGAACATTTGGAGCCAGATGCCGTGAGTGTAGCCATGAACCTGATACAGCCTCTATCTAATGATAGATTGAAGAGAGAGCGAAATGAATCTTGCATCTACTCACCACACTGTTTAGCTCTTTGATGTATTTGCACGCTTTGACATTGAGCCTCTACAGTGACGACACGGCTAGACTCAAGGCCTTTGCCTTTGTTCAGTGCAGGTTTGTATGAACAAATGTTAACAAATGGCACAGATATTGTCACGAATGCATGAAATAGATCTTAAGAAGCACACACACAATATGCTTATTCATTCCATATCAGCCATTTATTCAAGTATGTCTGCAGTTATTCAGCATAGAGCGCTGACTGTCTGGGATATATTGCAACACAAAAATGGCTTTACAAAGTTCGCAAGGTTAGTGGTGTTAAGGTTTTGAGCTATAGAAACACTAGTAGCAAATAAACTAGTTAAATTCCACCTAGTAGTAGAATTGTGCACGCAGCTTTGTTTTGAGTTACAACTGATAGATAGATAGATAGATAGATAGATAGATAGATAGATAGATAGATAGATAGATAGATAGATAGATAGAATGGAAGACAACAAATATCAATATAAAAAAATATTTTTGTGATCCCATTTGCTCAGATAGAAAAAAAAGTAGTGTCTTCGTGAATTTCAAAAAGAGGAAAATAGAAATACTGGCAATGGCATTTTACCATCACTCAGACAGCCACTGTATTAGAATCTCACTGCAGCATTTATTTATTTATTTTTGTAATTTAAAGCAAAGGTAATATAATGCAAAGTATATTGTTATAAATGCATACTATTTTAAAATAAAATATAAAAATATTTTTTTCTTGATGCTGATGACTAAACACGTCCATTATTTTTAGATTGCTGATTTAACCTAAATAAATTCATTTATACCAACAAAATAAAACAATATGGATTAAATTGGGTAGAAATATTTCTTTAAGGTAACAATTGCAGGTTAGCACTTTTTACAGTGTATGTATTTTTATTCCCCTGTGAACGTTTATCATTACGGTATAATTACTTCAGATAACTCCACCCCTAAAAGGCACATAAAAACCAAGTGGACCATGGCTGGTTGCTTTAGACGTTAATCAGGCCTCATCTTTCAGTAGTGGACGGTTCTCAAACAGAAAGAGCAAGTCAAAAGTCTGGCTACACAAGTTTAACCTTGGCATTAAATCTATACATTCCAGGCCCCTCTGGATTTGAATGTCTATAGTCTTGATATGTTTCATCCTTATGCATTTTGATCATCACTGTATAGATTTTTGTCCTCCATCAATAAGGTTGACCAGGCAGTCAGCTATAGGCAGTATGGGGGTTGTAGGACAGTTCTCCAATATAGAATTTATTTCCAGAACATTCTAACAGTCTTTGTGTGTCTAAATCTTTCCCTGGATGACAATATTAGCTAGACGGTGATGTCTGTAGCATTTTGTCTATGGCTTCTGCCAGATTAGGTATTTACAAAGGGTTTAAGGCTTATGTATTTGTCGAGTATATATATATATATATATATATATATATATATTAAGAGTTCATTTACAAAACCAATAAAAGCCACTTTAAAAAA